TTTTAAATACTCTAGGAACAACAAGTAGGCCTGCAGTGCCAGAGCGAAGTGCTCTAATAGGGTGATATGGTACTACAAGGTCATTAAGATAAGATGGGGGCTGATTATTTAAGACCTTGTATGTGAGGAGCAGGATTTTGAATTCAATTCTGGATTTAACAGGATGCCAATGAAGGGAATCCAATACAGAAGAAATATGCTCTCTCTTTCTAGTCCCTGTCAGTATTCTTGCTGCAGCATTTTGGATTATTAACTGTGATGAGTAGTAAGATGTTCTGGCTTTGCGGAGGGCTTTCTTATAAAGCAACAAACTATTTCTCCAGGCAAAATGATGATCGTCTAAATTTGTGACACGCCATTTCCTCTCCAAGTTTCCTCTCCGATTCATCTGCTTTAGGCTACATGTTTGAGAATTATACCACGGAGTCAGGTACTAATGATTTGAGGCCTTAGTTGAAACAGCTTAGGGTATAAGTGAAGTAGAATGGCTCGATAAGATAAAGCAAAATACAACACAAGGTAAAACAAAACAGTATATTAAAAACAGTATATTAAATAGAAAAACTAAAGAGATAAAATTCAGTAATAAAAATGACATGGGTAAAACATTTCATTAAAATGCAATAAAAGTAAAATGTGCAAAACATTCATATAGCCATATTGTGAAAATAAAACAATCATAAAACAAAGTAGAACAATTTACGGATAAATGAGGAAACAAAAAAAATCTGTAGTTTTTTTTCTTTTTGACATTTTTTAAGACCGTGTTTTCTGAAAAAGCTCCACACAGAGCTGCAGTGCTGTAAAGTGTTAGCGCGCGCACGGAGCGCGTGCCAGTGTCTTCGAACTTCGTGCTGAACCCTGAAAACATCAAAGCGGCGCCCGGCAGCACCTTCTCTACACACCGAGGCCCATGACGTCATTTTATATCACGAAGACGGTACCACGCATGCGCACAGGAGGGGGAGAGAAAAAAAAAAAGCCAAAGCGTCACGGAGCGGTGCAGCAGCAGTGTATGTGTGTGTGTCCTCATCACGAAGAGAGAGAGTGAACGGGAAGCAGCACCTCCGCCTTTTCCATCCAACATCTTCTCAGAACTCGAGTGGGAACGCGCTCAACTACACCTAGTCCGTACTCCCCCCCTCTTCTTCCTCCTCTTCAAAATGTCCGTGGGCAGTGACTTTGGGAATCCTTTAAGAAAATTCAAACTCGTCTTTCTCGGGGAGCAGAGTGGTAAGGACGCCTTTAATTCTCTGTAGAAGTTGATGTAGTGGCTCGGTGCACCTGCTGCTGCTGCTGGGGCCGGTCGGCAAGTTCATGTTTCAGAAGGAAGCAGAGCTTGATTTAGCCTGGTGACAGGGCGACTGTGTGGAGTTTTAGGACTTAAACTGAGCACCAGGAAGGAGAAAAAAAATGTCTGAGCGGAGCGTGGGGAGGAGATTTTAATCAAATTAGCAGCCCGTGAGGCTTTGCACAATAGTCGGGAGTGTGTGAATTGTCCCTCTGGCTCTTAAGTTTAAAAGTAAAATAACTGAAGCACTAAACCTGAAACGAGCTCTTCGGATGGAGTGCCGGCTGAATGCATGCAGGGAGGCTTGTACCAGCCTCAGGTCTGAGGTCTGCTGGGGATGGTACAAGTTGGCAAATATTCCTGTGTGCTGAGACACACCCAGGTTGTCAGTGGCGATGAGATAACTTGTGTGGCTGCAGTCTCTGCCCTGGTATTGTTCCAGCCTGCCTGCCTGATGAGGCTGGGACCAAGTTTGTGTGTCTGTGTATGATGACCTGCTCAGTCATTATTATTTCACACTAAATAGCATATTTCCCCCCCCCCTCCTAAACCATCAGAGTCCAAAGCTTCTCCTTGTCTGAGGTTGTTTTCCTCAGGATTACACAGCTGAGCTCCCTCAGACATGAGCTGAATGTCTGGGTTTTGTCTTCTGAGCAGGGCAGGTCGTTTTATGGTCTTGAGCAGCCCAATGAACCACATTAGTCACAGTTCAGGGCTCCAGCAGGTCATATTGATTACCCAGTACAGTGGGATCATGCATTAGCTTGAATAATGCTTCATTTACAGCAATGTGCCATGTTTAGTACTGTGTCTAACTAATAGGACATTATGTCATTTAACCCTGAAGCAACCGAGCTATTTCAGCAGCTCTAAAGAAATACTTTCAGTTTCTCTATTTGTGGTTGTAATGTCTTTACTGTGTCTTTATTTGTGAAAGATAATATAACATTTTTTATACAGTCATTTTATGTAAAAATCTGTTAAAAACACAAATGTACAAACAATTACATGTACAATTACATGTGTATATATATTATATGTAGTCCTAATGCTAGACATGAAAATGCATTTTAAAGCTTAGGCTATTTTGCATTTTATTATTATATATTATTTGAGGCTTTAGAAACAACAAATCAAAACCTATAAGGTTAAATATATGCTTATATTTACATACACACCTTTCCATTCTATTTGTCTGCCTGAAAATGCACTCCCAACTGCTAAATAATGAAGGCCAAGAAAAACAATGCAGTGATTGCTAACGTAAGTCGTCCACTGTGCAGCACTTGTATATGTGTCCAGCAACCACTGTGAATAATGAAGACTTCTGGGAAAGGGTCAGCAAACCGGACAAAAGATGTTACCTCCTCACGGAGGAGAAACAGAGTGCGATCTCACAGCTGTCGAGTTTTATTACCATCCATCACGCAGGTACAATGAATTATGTGAAAGATTCTTTTTTGGCTCTAGCAGATGCACTTAAGTCAGGTGGATAAACATCTCATTTGTCTGCAGAGACGTTTATGATCTTTTTTTTTCACCAAAATCATCAATCACAATCAACAATTGTGTTAAATAATCGTGAACTCAATATTATGATATTCAGTTAGGCTGTCATTGTGAAACTCTACTAAAGCCTTGATGGAGATACTTGTGACAATAACAGCTCATTTGACTTCTTCCTAGAAATTAAAATGATTGAAAACTGTAATTAATAAGAAAATGTATGGATATATTTTATAAATAAAAGAAACGGTGAATGAGAAAAACAAAGAGAGCCACTTTAATTCTATTCCGTTGGACCCTTTTACAGCTAACCCTTGTTTCTCTTTTCTGAACTGAGTACTTTCTGTCATATTTCAGGTCTACTTCCAGAACAAAAGCACTGGTGTTTAGGAATTAGTGGGGGTGATCTCCGCCTACTCATACTACCTGTGGAAAAACCCAGAACCTATTCTAATGGTTGCTAAACCAGATCTTTATTGATATATACTGAGGTGTCAAAACTCGTCATTAAGGGTACTGGTAAGGTTGACAAATATCACCTTTACCGGGGGGAAAGAGTTTAGCAACTTGAAGTTAAACTAGGTCATAGGTAAGGTGAGGTAAGGGCCAATTGCCCCCTGTTGGCCATTAGAAAACAATGCTTGGTAGGTTCTGCATCCATCTTTACATGCAGTCTATGAGGAGCCCCCTCTGTTAACAACTGACACAAGTGTTTTCATCTATGAGTCCAGCTATTCTGTAGTGCCTTGGATCCAGAATTTGTTGGTACTGTCCTACACGAGGCACCAGCGGTGTGTGCCTAATGAGAAAAATGATAATTACAAGTGATTTCAAAGCATTGTGATGCTTCAGATTTCCCTTTTTAGCTTATAAAACCAACAGCACATTCTGCTCAGTCGGCTCGCAGTGCTCTCGTCAGCAAATGAAAGTAAATTAGACGCAGTTTATATAAAATGTACAAACATACGCCTGCTAGTTAGCTTTTTCCTCTTGGGCAATTTTATGACATTAAGTGCCAAGCAACAAGCCAAAGGGGATTTATTTGGCTGGATAAACATAATATCAGGGAGTGCACTGTCTGTATTTACCCAACCACAAAGCCGTCTGATTCTTTTGACATTTCAAATTATGGTCACACTGAGAGACATAATGTCTTATCCAGTAAATTTATTCGTTTTAGACATGAATACAAATAAAATCTTTATTTTTATCTCTTTGTGTGCTGTATAAAACTTAATTTGAGGCTTGTGTAACCCATATTGATTCATAGTTCAAATAAGATTTGTATAAAAGAGGCTACTGAAGGCAAGCAAGCAAAAATGGCATTTAAGCAATCATTGCATCTCATCTCACTGTAAGTGTTTTACCTGTTTATTCGTTTATCTCTCGTTTGTTTGTTAGAATTGCGGATCATTTTTTACAGTGTGCACACAAAATATTTCTAAAACGTAAGGTAACAAACGAAGGTCTGTTTGAGCCAGGAAAAATCCCTGTACATGAACATACACTAAAACTAACAATAGGCCTGAATTATTGATAAAGGACATTTCTTATCCTAAGCAAAGTGGGCCACTTGGTAATTAAATTTCCTAATTGTTCAGCTTGTTGTTACAGCTTGAAGTCATTGCTCACCAACACGTGGTCTTAATAAATGCCGTTGTAGGGTGTTTACTCACTGACGAACAGCAAGACTGCATTTATCAGCATTTCTCTGTGTTTGCTCTATTGCGGTGAAACTTATTTTATGCTACACATGCACACCAATGGATTTGCTGGGTTTTGTGTTCAGCTCCTGCGATACATAATAAAGGATTTTAGACTCAGCATTTCCTATAATAACTGCTCACTTTCAGGTGATTAAGGCGACTTCTGCAAACTTTTATTAGCAAGATAAATGTTTGTAAAACAGCCATGTCAGTAGTGCTTGATCATTAATCTGATTTTAATTTAAGTTAGATTTTGCCAATGAGTTGTTATAAAACCAAGTTAGCTTCTATATAGCCCGACCTGTGACCTGTGTCTACTTTGGTGGCTTCAAGATTACATCTTTGCAAGTGAATCACTGAGCATGGAGCTCCCACTCTGGGCAAGTTACTGCCCCAAGTGGAAGAGTTTCGGTATCTGGTGGTCGTGTCCATTAGTTAAGGGGAAAAGGTGCGTGAGATTGAAGATGGATTGGGACCAATCTGTTGTGGTAAAGAAGAGAGAGATGAGCTTAAAAGCAAAGCTGTCAATTTACCGGCCGATCTATGTTACTACTCAGAGTAAAACTTCTGCTCCTTCCCATCAAAAGGAACCAGTTGAGGTTGTTTGGGCATCTAACTGGGATACCTCATGGAGACTTCCTATGCGAGGTGTTTCAGGCATGTCTTGGAGGGGTCAGACCAGGACTTGCTGGGGAGATTATAGTTTTCAGGATCAAATCCAACTATTTCTTTTGGCTGATGTTAGCATGTCTGTTATGGCCCTTTTTTGCAGCCTAGATTAAGATTTTTGCCATAGCATAGCAACTTTGTTGTGGTCTAAAGGCACTTTAGTTGGTCTCATTCTTTGGGTTTTCTTACCCCTCAAAAAAGCTTAAGAGTGTGCCAATGAAAGGGCATAATTTTTTAAATAAAATTACTTTTAAAGAAAGACATTCTTTATGAAATGGCCAGATATAAAAGGAAAATTAATAGTTTTCTGTCAAATACAGTAACATAGACTCTTTGCTTTTAATATGTGGAGACCAATCATGTTGACCCCCCCTCCCAAATACCCATTCTGATTCAGGAAACATCCTGATTCTGAATTCCACTGGAGACCCAGCAGGTCTGTACATCTATTCTTGTGGAGTTAAGTGTGTTCCTGTTATCAGTGCGAGGGGACTTTATTTGTCAACCATCCAGACAGCAGCAGCGGCAGCCTCATCTCCGGTGGAGCTGCGTGTCTCTGACACGTCGACTATAATTGCAGCTGGTGCCCAGGCGGGCGTGAATCCCATCAGCTCAGCCGCTATCTTTTATTAATATACACAACTGGACTGAAGTATGTCACAAAAAAACACCCCTTATTGTTCTTTTTGAGTTGAGAGTCCCTGTGTACAGTGAAGGCCCCATAATGGTGGACGTGGCTGAAAAATGTCTATAAAGGGAAAGATGGCACGATGTGCTGTTTTTCATAAAAGAATCCGCTAACGTCAGAGAGGTGGAGGCTCTACATTAAGTGGGTGGAAGCAGGAGGCAGAATGTGAAATGAGCTGTCAGGAAGCCATACTTCTTTAGGTGTTTTCTACACTCCGTGCACAAAGAAGGTTGGCTAAACATTTCCTTGACAAAGCTGAGGGCTTTAAGCAGGCCAATCAGCTGTTTCCAAGTATGCGCACCCACACTCCTGGTGGCAACCGCTTTTTACCCGTTCCAGCCTGAGTGCAATCAACCAAGTCTTTGTTAGAACA